GCCTCGTTCCGTGTTCTCTTCTTCGGTTCTGGCCTTCTTGTGCTTGGGTGGTTGTTCGGAAGCCGCGGACGTGGCTGGCGTGCCCTGAGCCTTGGCCGCATCTGCTTCATGTCCCTCCTTCCTCTTCAACGACGTATTGCCCTCCATTTTAGCAGTTGTTGTCTCCTGTTGTGATGTACGAAATGAGGGCAAGGCTGGCCAACAGAGCTGGTGCCTCAGCCGCTGCAATATCATCGAAAAACGGACAAATCGTCGCATGTTCTTAACTGAAATTTCGATTATCAAAGAAATATTTTCCTTTTCATTTCTTTTATACCAATTTGGGTGAAGGCCCAGATAAGGAAATGCGATTCTTGTTTTCGTCCAGTTCACGTCTTTCGGCCCGTAGCCGTTACTGCGAGGCCGTTGCGACCTGTGCGAGGTGTACAGTTATGGAAAGGTCCAGGTTCGGCATTTGAACGTGTCGTTCGGGCCTTTGCTACGCTTGGACTTGGAGGGAAGAAGGAGGAGAGACAACAGGAAAAAAGTGTTTGCTTGAGCTTGTGGGCCTTTGTTGAAGCGGACGTGAGAGAGAGTGAAGGTCAAAGCAGAAGGATCGTCGATGATGGTGAGCCCCATCCCTCAACTTTGTTGATGGTTACTATGTGGAGTGGTGCTGACATGTTGTGTGGTACATGATGAGCAGGAAAAGGAGGATGGCGAGAAGAAGGACGCCCCCAGGCCCAGCCAACAGGCCCTGGTGACACAGCGCAAGCTGATGTTCGGGGAGATCCTCAAGACAGGCTGGCTCTCTCGCAAGAGCAAGAAGTCTGGTGAGTGGCGCGAGTGGTGGTGGGTGCTGCGCCCGGGCGTAATCTCCTACCAGAAGAACGAACAGGTACAACCTCCTCTAGCTCCTCAACCCCCCCAATCAAGATCTTTGATCTTTGTCACCTTCGTCACCATTCTCATGACTTAATTCATCAATCTCGAAAGGCTGCCAATGAACCGTTGGGGATGATCAATCTCGAAGGCGCCAAGCTCAAG